GTTGTATTGCATCTACTTTTAGACTGTAAGTTCTTGAGAACAGGGACCTCTTCATCTGTAGTGGGGAAGAGGCTGGGTGCGATTGTGGAGTGCTGTAAAAACAAAACAATTGATGCCAAGTTGTATCTGAGCTGAGTAATGATGGGACATCATATAGGCATCCTGTGGCAATGCTTTGGGCAAGTTGAGTTACGAATTTTCCAAAATATGGGCTTGGTTGTCTAGCAGTTCCGGACACACACCCAGCCAAAAGTGAAGGGAGTGCAACCATGGAAGTGTACTGGATTCATGTTCAAGGGATGATACTGTGAGGTTAACTAATTAAGCAAATTTACCTGTCTAAAATCATGTTACATTATTAAAACGGTTCTAAAAGCTTTGTGTTTTGTTGTTTGTTTTACTTTATGTATTTTATTTTATTTTTTGCAATATTGGACGGTGACAGTGGATAAGCTGGTTTTGTTCACAGTCTCTCGTTTCCTGCCTTGCAGGCTAGCCAGGTGCTGTCATTTTTGGACTGTAGTTCATCTAATGAAATACTTCGGTTTAGGTTAAGGTTGATTTAAAAAAAAAAAAAAAAAGGAGTTATCTCTATTGTTCTTCAGTTACATCTTCTCACAGCTGAAATATGGGCTCACATTTGACCTCTGAGTATGTATTTGAACAGCTACCAAAATTAAAGTCCTGCATTTCTTGTTATACTCTGTTCCAGGTGTTGCTAAATGTATGCAATTTTGTTCTACAAAAAGCATCTTTATTACCCTACTTTTTACTCTTTATAATTTAATAAAATAAGACACTTTAATAAAATAAGACAAACCTGACTTACATTTTGGATTGGTTTTGGTTGCTCCAGCCTTGAGTTCAGTTGTCTGTTGGAGGCAGGGAGTCACAGCTGCCCCTTCCCAGGCTTTGCACAGGGAATAAACTGGAGCATATGACTCCCAAAGCTTGCTTGCTTTTATTTTTTTAATTTTAGTTTGTCTTGTCCTTTAGATTAGTGTGTGTGTGTGTGTGGTGTTGTTTGTTTATTTTTAATACAGTGGAGGGCCGTATTGCCCTAGCAAAGTCATTTAATGTGTAAATGGAGGCTCTCATAAAAGATATCGTTTCTTGGGTTGCACCTCCAACCTGAACTTAGGTGTTTGTCGTCTTATCCCCTCCCTGCATCAGCTTATCAAATTGGGGAGTGAAGGGGAATATTTTTGAGTTAAAGGCAAACTCTTAAAGTTATATCTTCTTTTGCTGCCAGGTGATTTTAATTAGATCTGGTTGTAAAAAGTAAATACTAATGTTATGTGCAAAGAACCCATTAAGCTCAAGTTTGTAGGCTAATTTGTCCAGCCGTTGATGAATTTGAGTCCTCTGCACGGTGCACATCTCTCTGTATGTAGCTTTGGGGCTGTCTCGCAGGTGGGGGAGAGCACTTGCAATGCCCTGCTGGCTTTTGTCACCAGTGTCCTTCTCGTGGCAGGAGTTCCCCATCCTGTTTCTTACCGCTTGTGCTTGCCCCTAAGCGGCTTCCCCGGTGGGAAGCCAGGATGAGCGCGACAGCCACCGGTGCAGATTCTCCGCTTCGCGCTCGGTGGGGCCCCTGGCAAGCTGGCAGCTACAGCTGGCACTTGCCTTTCTCTTGGCTTTCCTTACTTGCTGGTGGTCAAACTGTCGTGCTTTAGTATCGTGTGCTTGGACCACTAACAACAAGAGCTGCGGTCAGCCTCGGTTTATCCTGTTACCTGCAACTGATATCCAGAGATTAATTTGTTTTAAATTATTTTTAAAAGTTGCTGATTATAGCTGGTGATGTCACATGTAGCACGTGCTGTTATACAGCACATAACGCAAACTTTATCTTTCAGCCGAAATGCACCACACGTGGCAGTTTCCCGTGTTATTGGGTGTTGCAAATGTAAAATGCTGTCACGTTTTCCTAGGTCTGTGTACAATCTGTCAAAATAATTCCTGAGGTCCAGCCTCAGTTCATGGTCCCATTAAGTTTCATACGTGTCTGTGTAAGGAATTGGAGCTGTGTGATATGAAATATTAACCTGGTAGGGTTGAATGCCAGATGTGACAGCTTGCACTGTCTGAGATTATAATCTGACCCTGTGTGCATAAGAAATAAATATGTGGTGTTTTACGTAGGTTTGGAAATGGAATCACTGAACATGTGGATTTATATGTATGGAGCTGGGTTTCTAATTTTTGAAGCTGCAATGCTTGCATTGTTGTCTGTTGGGGAAGAAAAAAAAGGGATAATTACTACTGCTTTGCATTGTCATAGCCGTTACAAATGCTTTACATGACTTCTAATAAAGTGTGTTTGCTCACCAGCTACCTTGTGCTCTGAGGCACTCTGACCTTGCCAAAGAAGATGATGTGAGGTCTTCCCAGGGCACCTAGAGCAGTGGCTGGGTAAACACGCAGTTAAAACTTCAATTGGCTGAAGGTGCAGAGTTTGCAGTGGGGCTGCTCTTATTTGTATGCTGTCTGTGTAGGGGAATGGGCATGCAATACCCCACGTGCGTACCTTTGTTCGGAGCATTGCTCCCTCTGTTACCCGGGAGAGCGGGGAGGGAGGCTGTGTTTTGGATGGGGAGCCTGATCCTGTGCTTAGACACGGACCACCTGCAGAAGCTGTTGGTTTAAGCAGGCGCTAGATTGCGGCTATTTCCCTCTGCTGATGTCCCACGGTACCTGTGTGCCACAGACCTGCGGGGTCTGGAGTGGTGATGCCATGTCCCGCGTGGTGACGTGCCTGAATCCTGCTGAGACAGCTGGTTTATCTTTGCGGTGTGGACTCAAGCGGCTTGGGGACCTCTGCACTGCTGTGCGTGGTGCGAGCCAGCCTGAAGATTCCTGGGGTTCATGCCCTAGTCTTGCCCGTTAAGATACATTAGAGAAGCACTGATCTTGCTGTGTGGGGGTGGATCGTGTATGTTTTATTGCCCGTGTTTGATACAGGGGTTGGAGCCTGCCTGCCTCCCCCGCTCCAGCTGTATATTTTACTTTATGCAGTAGGCTAAAAACCACAACTAACTTACAAGCTGCTTTATTCTGAGATACTGTATTTGCTGTGATGGGCCTTTACGTTCATAGCTGGTAGCTTGAAGATTTAAAGCATGTATACTTTAAATATCTCTTATCTGGGGCAGGTTAGAAGTGAGTACAACTAACTTTTATTTGGCTGTAATGCATTTATTAATGACAGTGAAAACTGTAGATGGAAAAGCAATAGGTAGAGCTGAGCCCCTTTAGGAAAAATGCAATGTTGGGCTCTTTGTTATGGTTTTGTAACTTGAGTTTTCAGTTTTCCGGGTACCTGCTGCCTGGCACGCTGCTTTAATAAAGCAAGCAGCCCCCCCCCGAAACGTGAAAGCCACAAAAAGGGCATGCATTTATACCATAGAATTGACAGCCTGGGCACTGGCTTCGTCTTAAACGTCTCAGCTCCTTTGATTTTTGCCTTTCACTCAAAACCTTGGAAAGGGAAGGTTACCAAATGTGTGTTTACTTGAAGCACACAACCTGCTCAGCCGCAATTATCTCCTAATCTGGTCCTTCCGAGTTTCTCTGGTCTCGCAGGTAAATACAGATTTAGCCGTTATTCAAGGCATATTATTTGCCTCATTAAGTGTGTGTTTTGGCACGTGCATTATTTACCTGCCAGACTAACGGATGGGAGAGAGCAAACGCTGTCTTTTGTGCAAACAGCGACTTTGTTTGCGGGTGGCGAGTCCTCCGTTTCGCCTTGCCCGTTTCGGCTCCGTGTCTCACGGCGAGTGCTTCCAGCCCTTCGTGGTGGAGCGAAAAGCGAGCGCAGGCGTGGGGAGGTCGGGCTCAGAAACCAGGCGGGTGGGTGGCACGTGGTACGATGGAGCTCTTGGGACCAACCACAGGGATGGATTTAAATCTCCCTGTCTACGTAGCGAGGTGTGTATATGTGTATATGCAGTTAGAGGGAGTAATCATATCCTTGTTCGAGAGGACTGGGTTGTTGCGATTCGCCCGTTTCTTTGCCGTTGATCACTGTACCCAGCTATGCAATGCCTCCGTGAGTTTGGCTTGAACTCTCAAACCAATAAATGCATGTCGACAAACAGCCCCAAGGCTGGCCCACCTTGGGCAGTGACAATTCTGCCAAGCTTTTTGTGCAATGTTTTAAAATAAAAAGGATGGGGGGGGGGAAATCCAGGCAGTCTCACATAAATAATGTAATTTATTAAATAGCATTTGTTGAATAGAAGCATCAAAAGGTAATGGCTGGGTGAGGTAATTCTTTTGGAGGGAGACTGTAACTTAGAGTCCTGCTTGCATTTTACAGTTCCTGCAGTCCCCGTGGTTCATGTGTGGGTTTGTTGAAGAACCAATATCCTCCTCTGAGAAATACCTGAAGTAAGAAATGGGGTGTAGCACTAGAATCACATCTCTGACAAACCTTGTACACAGAGCAAATGAGAACTTCCCTGGAGAGGAGCCTTCCAGCCACCAGACGTGTGGATTTGTAATGGAAGTGGGAGATCGTGGTGTGACTAACAGGCATTTCAGGGCCAAGCTCTTTGGATGGGTTGTAGTCTTGATATGTGTATCGATATATTTAATTCCTACTATATGTCAGAAGTTGCAATGTATGTGAAAAGACGAAAGGCCTGAGATTGTCTATGTTTAAGTGGTTTGTGTTGTGTTCTGCTATGATAAGGTTCGGCAGGGGGGTGCGATCTGGTGCCTGGAGCCACAACTGTTGTGTGTCTCATAGCTCTTAATTTAGAGCTATTTGCAGAGGTTAATTCCCAGTTGCCTGTGATTCTGGACACCTTGAGCTCAGTCCAAATGTCATCTGTTGTGCTTAGAGTGGGTTATTGTGCTATTTCAGGTTTGCAGTGCTGGAACCTCCACCGGGAAGCACAGAGAAAATCCCTGGCAGAGGAGGCCAGTGAGGAGTTACTAGCAGAGGTGAGATGTATGTGTGCATGAGTAACGCGAGTCTGTCTTCAGTTTCAGATGCCTCTGGATGTTCAATGATAGCACTCCTCCATACTGGAGCAGCAAAGTTTCCCCAAAACTTACTTCCAAGGGCAAGACAAGCTGTGTGCTCCCTCCTCCCAGCTGGTGTTCTCAAAGGCTACAGCTCCATCGTAAGCAGGAAACTGGCGTCCCACGGCTTTGGAGCTTCCATGGCAGCAATGTCATCCTTCCCTCCACAGAGATATCACTACTTCTTAGTGCTGGATTTTGAGGCAACGTGCGATAAACCACAGATCCATCCTCAGGTAAATAGTCTATCCAGTCAATTATCCCCTTGCAAGTTGCTGCTGCTGTTCTGAGAGGTGGAAGGAAAAAGCACAGTGCTGGCTCACTTGTTTTCTCTGGTATGTCCCACCTCCTTTCTGTTGCTGGTCCTAAAGGGCTCTTGTCAATCACTTGCTCTCTCAGGAGCAATGCCAGGACCATTTGGTGGGAATGAAATGAAGGAGCCTGGTTTCCATCAAGGAAGTGGAAGTTCATGTGTTGTCAAAACCATCTTTAAGTCATGTACGCTTGTCATTTGCCTGAACTGGAGAGGGTCTAAAAATTTTTCACTGGGAACCTGCATTAGTAGAGTACTCGTGGCAGCCTTGTTTGATTCTGCAAGGTGTCATTCTGTTGGTGGCCAACAGCTTTTGGAAAAGAATAGTTTGAATAATATGAATATGTGCGACATAATGGTGTTTCTAAGTAGAGAAGAGCAATAATTTGGAGTTATCTGATCTTGCTGAAGTTATCCTGCCTGGGTGTTAACTCTGGAGTGTAATGAGACTGGAAGAGTTCAGCTTCAGAGGGATTTTCCAGTGCCCTACCGCTCGAGACATACAGAGATCTAGATGAAGTACGGGGGTTTTTCTGCAGACAATTCTTCCCTAGTAGCATAGAGCTTGGTAGTAAACACATTTTCAGTTGTCAGCAGGATGGATCTGGGGTTTCCATTATAATTGGAAAACCATGCTAAAAAGAAAGAGACTAACATTGGGTTGGTAATGAACAGAATTTCTGAGTCTCTAAATCGAACCTCTACCAAGGAATTGGCCTCTTACAGGTATTGCCGGTATATATGCATTGGGTCAGAATAACTTCCTTTTGCTTTGCTTGGAATATACTAAAGGCTAAGCGGTTTTCAATGCGGTATCTCATTACTGAAGTGACTCAATACAGTGTGTTGTGTTCGTTTCCCAGTGCACCTGTGGTTTCCCTTGAGCTTATCCTGTCCAAGGGATGCTGCAGGTTGGGATCAAACTTGACTCCTCTCTTCCCCAGTAGTGCCTTGGCGAGTGCCACCTGCCTCTCATGTTTCCTGAAAAATGGACAGTAAATTCCCTGCTCTTTTGCTGGGTCTTTGTGGGAGCCTTTTGTGGCTCTGCATCCAGTTCTGCTAGCAGGGTCTTAACTGCTCTCCAAGTGAGATGTCAGGCTATTTCCTGCACGCTCTGCCTCGGGTGCACAGACCTGTCAAAGCTGTAAATTGGATCTACCTTGTCCCTTTGGATATGGGTTTGGTCTGTGCACATTTTGATGCAAAACCATGATGCATGTGGAGCTAGTTTACAGCTGGCAGTAAAAAGGAGCATGAGTGGAATATGATTACTACTGTTTTAAGGAGCTTTGTCCCCAAGTCCTTGCCAGGGAAGGTAATGGTCTGGGCCAATGCAGATCTGCTATATATTTTGTTGGTGAGATAACACCTTTAAGGTGGAGATGTTCTTCAGTGTTGTTTTTCCAGTCTGCTGTGTTCAGTGCCTGTCTGCATCACATTGTGCGTGGAAAGGGCTGTCAGTCCCTCACATCACCACAAACAAATTAGTTTGACAGATAAAGAAATGGCTCTTGCTGCATGGGAATCAGTGTAGCTGGAAAGGCTGAAGGTGCCTGGTGGAATGGAGCAACTTTTATAAAATGAGACTTTAGTTGATGCCCCTGCCTACGTCTTACCTTTTTGCTGACCAGCGTGGCTTTTGTCCTCTTCACTGCTAGGCTGTATGTCATGGCGAGCAAACTGTGCCGTGTATTTCAGCGATGTTTTGTGCAACATTTTTACTGGCAGGATCTTTCACTGGAGCAGTGGCAGACAGGTTTGAGAGATGTGGTCTGAGGACAGACCTGGGAGCTAGGAATGGTTGGGTGCTGATCTTCACTGTGATCCCGATCCTTTTTCTGCTTTTGTTTTACTGCCTGCAAAATAGAAGTCTAGATCAGTGAATTTCAAGTGTGTGGGGATTTAACGAGGAGGCTACATACAGAGCGAAGCTGTGATCCAGGTTACTTTAGGTAGGTAGGCATAGCTGTAAGTTTAGCCAGCTCAGCCTAAAAGTCTTGCAGAACGCACGTGCCACTGTGCAGCACACTTGAAATTTCCCACTGACTGCTCTGCAAAATATCCCAGCTTCTTACCAGAAACTACTGAAAGAGCAATCTTTTTATCTACACTAAGGTGTGTGATTGCCACGTCTGCTCCCCCCTCACTGTATTTACTTTGTGCTCTTCTGCAACCGGCAGCCTCGCTGGCTTTATCCCTGGGGAAGTCCTTCACGCTCATTCGGGAGCCCTGAAGACTCCGTCATTTCCATTCCCTTTCACGCCACCCAATCTCCCTCTGAGGTCTCGTGGTATGGCCTCCGTAATTGGGATCAAGGAGGGTCAAGGACAGTGGTGTTCCCCTGGGAAGCTGTCTGCATTGTGGCTCCAGTGGCTGGGACCACTGGCTGAGTGCCTCGTGGCGCTGCCCTTTGCTTTACCACTTCTGGGTCGGGCATGGAGGGTCCTTCATGTTCACTGCCCTACACCCACAGCAGCATCCTTGTAGTCCTGACTTCTGATGGCTTTCAACACCTATGCCCCTAAATCAGAGTACATGTTCATATGCACAAAGCAGCAGCTTAGCTTTATGGGGTTTTTGGATACATTTATGAATAATGAGACCATCTAGAGAGAAAAGAAGGTGGGGGGTTTAACTGCATTGCCCCAGATGGATGGATGGGAAAACCTGAAGCAATAGAGGCACAATCTGCATCGTGTAGTGTTTTAGCCAGCCAAAGGTCAGGAGGGTTGGCAGTAAGGCATGTTTATGGCTGGCCCCTCGCATCCCTTTAAAGCTTACCTTGAGCATTTGGAATTTGATCCAAAGCCCAGTGGGGTCAGGTGGGAGCTGTCGTTTTGCCGAGGTCGGCGGACCTCGGACCATGATAGTGATAGTGTGCTTCATTTTTCAGCTCTAACTCTGACTTTTTTTCCTTTACTGTCTGCTAAGAGTTTATAAGTACCTGCTGCTTTTATATGCTGTCAGCCTGTAGAGCTGGTTACATACGGTGCTTTAGCTACACAAGAGAAGATGCATTAATAAGTGGGAGTCTCGCTCTTTTGTCCCTTTGTCCTTGTATACACCAGTGTTTATGGTGGTCAGTGCTTTCGGTGACTGTGTTAAGGAGCTCCCCAGGCTGAGATCCGCAGCTGCTTGTAACCTTATTTTATTAATGCAGTGAGTGGGTGTGCCTCTTTCGGTCAGCAAGTGAAGTATCTTGCCTTCAACTTCAGCAGAGCGGATGAAAAGCAATCATTTTTTTAAATGTAAAAAGTGTGAAGGTAGAAATAAAATCTGTTCAAAACTGAATTTGAAGTTAGGCTTCTACATAATATGTTAATCTCTACTATAATCTGTTAAAGCCACTTAAATGAAAACCAAATAAAATTCAAGCTTTGTATGTCTGCTGCCTGGAAGTGTAAAAGAGTATCAGACCCTGGACCTGGCAGAAGGAGCTGGATCTAGGAGTTGCTAAGCTGCTAAATGAGCTTTTGGTAATGATGAAGTTGCTTTTTTTTCATGTCATTTTTTTCAGATGCTTGACTTCTGTGTCTCAGATTTGATAAATTTGATAATCAGTTGGGAATTAGAATTTTACCTCTTCCAAACTCTCTGTAAGAGGAAGGTATGAAATGGTCAGATCTTCTAATTGCTGAAGGAGAGGTTGTTAGCAGAGACAGAAGAATAAATTGTTTACAGACAATACTTTCCTTGTTCCGTTAAACAGCACATTTTAAATAGAAAAATATCTTGATATTGTTCTTTAGTGTATCCTACACATTTCAAGTGTTTAGCGTGCATTTTTATTGTTATTTTTGGGGAATTTTTAATTATAATTGCTGTCAAATGAAACTGGACCTACTAATATGTACAGAACATCACTCACCATTTCAATATAAAACCGTAAATATTGAGACTATGAATAAGCATATGTTCAGTTACTAATTTATTTTTAAGTGTACAAACAAATCTGGATGATCATAGTACATTTCCTGATCTGCAAAAGCATATTAACAAATGGGAACCAGTCTTTCTGTAGCATTAATATTAAGTACAAATGCATGACGAGGTTAAATTCTTTTCAGGTGTGTTTCCTTGAGTGCTAGTCTAAAAGAGCATTAAAGGTGTTTTTCCCTGAACATGCGTCTTGTGATTCTGGCTGGCGGTCATGGGCAGGTGCAGTTGGAGTGGCTGCAATGATTGGATCGCTGCCTCTCCACTGCCCGTACCGCTCTACCCGTGGTCTCGTTCCCATGGCAGAGACAACTGAATGATGTGTCTCTGCTCCTGAGATGCTGTGATATATAGACTGACCTTGTAATGGGAATGGATGTTGTTTTCCACCAAATTTAGGTGCAATCGTAGCAACAGATGTGCAGTCCCTGCCAAGCTCCCTGCTTAGGGTGAGGAGAGAGGGAATAGGCAAGCCGCCTTGGGAGCCGTAGCGTAGGCTCAGAGGAAGCTGCTGGAGGAATGGCGTTCCTCAGGGACCACCGCTGTTTAACATCTTTGTTGATGACATGGACAATGGGACTGAGTGCACCCTCAGCAAGTTTGCCAACAGCACCAAGCTGTGTGGTGTGGTTGACACGCTGGAGGGAAGGGATGCCATCCAGAAGGACCTTGACAGGTTTGAGAGGTGGGCCTGTGCGAACCTCGTTAAGTTCAACAAGGCCAAGTGCAAGGTCCTGCACATGGGTCGGGGCAATCCCAAGCACAGCTACAGGTTGGGTGGAGAACGAATTGAGAGCAGCCCTGAGGAGAAGGGCTTGGGAGCGTTTGTGGATGAGAAGCTCAACATGACCTGGCAATGTGTGCTTGCAGCCCAGAAAGCCAACCGTGTCCTGGGCTGCATCAAAAGAGGTGTGACCAGCAGGTCGAGGGAGATGATTCTGCCCGTCTACGCCGCTCTCATGAGACCCCACCTGGAGTGCTGCATCC